CGGGGCCCAGGGCGAGAGAGAGAGAGAGAGAGAGGAGGGGGGGGGGGGTTCCTAGGGGGCCCTTGTGGCGCGGGGTCCTACCGGTCAGGAGAGAGGGGTTGGGGAAGCAACCCGTTTCATTGAGGACAATTTCCAGCAGGCGCTCGTATTTACATCTCCGGCTCGGCGGGCCCAGGGCGGGCTTGTTCACCCAGGACGTAATCCTGCTCCTCATCCAGTACCCCGCACCGCTCATCCCTTCCCATCCCCTCTCTCCACCCCGCATACCCCGGCCCGCACCTGGGGGTGTGCGGGGATTCCAAGTGAATAGAGCGGTGAAACATTGCCCGGGCATGTGGGGGGGGTGGCGGTATGGAAGACCCCCCCCCCCTCTTCCCTCCCCTGTTCTGTCACTGGGGAATCCAAGCAGCGGGGCCGTTCCCATTCAGCTGCCCCCCTACCCTCTATTTAGTACAGGCGGCCCGGCGGCGCGTTGATCCACCTGACAAACGATGTGGGTTGTGCGTGGAGGCGGAGGGAGAGGGGGGGGGGGGGGGGGCTGTCGGGCCGGGCCTACCCGAGGGCCTACCCGAGGGCCTCTCCGAGGGTCTGCTTTGAGGACCTACCCGAGGGCCTACCCGAGGGCCTACCCGAGGGCCTACCCGAGGGTCTTCTTGGACGACCTACCCGAGGACCTACCCTAAGGCCGACTTCGAGGGCCTAGCCGAGGGCCCACCCGAGGGCCGCCTTGAAGACCTATTCGAGGACCTACCCTACCCCGAGGGCCTACTCGTTTGCCTGCCCCTTCTCCTTCGGGGCCGGAAGCGGCTGGCGCACCTCGTGCACCGCCTGCTGCTTGGGCCATTGGCGCCGGCCCCGGCCGAACGCTCATACAGTAGAGTGGTGGCGCTGAGACGGGCACTCAGTCACAACACGCGGTGCGGCCCTGACGGACCGACACGGCCCACTCCGACAGTGTCTGATGGCCGGCCGGGAAACACCGACAGGCAATCAGGAGGTATATGGCGGGAGATTCAAACGGGGAGGGGGAAGGGGGGGGGGGGAGCTTGAGTGAGGGCAGGGACAGAGGCGGCCCTGTGGAACTGCAAGGCAGAGAGAGCGGGACTCGTGAGGGACTTGGGGAACAAGTGGGAGAAGAGCAGTCCGCCACCGCCGCCGGGCCGGCAGGCGGCGAGAAAAGTGTCACCCCTATACCCCCCCCCCCTTTCGTCTCTCCCGCGACGCGACGCGTTTAGAGCTGCTCTCCCTCCTTTCCTTTCGTTTACCATCCCATAAATTGGACCGCCTAGCGCCTCCGCCCCGCCGCCGCCGCCGGGGTAGTGTGGTAGTGCCCGGGGTATGGTGCTGGCCGCGCCGAGCAGCTCGAGCGGCCCAGAGAGCAGTGCTTGTGCTTTACAGGCCGTACCGAGGGTCACAAGAGAGGAAGGGGGCCTGGCCTGTCTTTGATACGTGTCTGAGGGCAGGGCTGCTGCGGGCTTTACGGCGCAGAAACGTTCGACTTGGCGAGGGGGCAGGGCAGGGGCGGGGGCTGCAGCTCGGAATATGCATACGAATAAATCGGTCTATATTTTTTTTTCTTTCCTCGGCGGGGAATAGGAAACAGAAAACAGACAAGGGGGAAGTGGGAGAGCGGGGTGACTGGAACGAGGGAAGATGCGCAGCGCGGTGCTGTTTCTAGTCTTGAGAATAGTTAAGGAAAGGCTTTTTTTAGCTGTCACAGCTAATATCTTTTACTCTAAACGTTTGCAGTCTCCAAAAAAGGCCGAAAATATTGGCAACCTAGGCGACCACGGCGTTGAGTATGTTGCTACGGCGTTGAGTATGTTGCTGGTATATTGTGAGACAACGTAATGAGCTACTGTGATAGCTCAAGTTAAGGCTTAGGTTTAAGGCATCGCCCAGAAAGTACGTCCGTTTTTCTAAGATTGATCCGTCAAATTGCGGGAGCACGGCGCCTTCGAGACTCAGGGTAGGCCACCCCGCGGTACACGCATGCCCTGCAGACATGATGTTGCGTACCTACCAGGCGCTCTGAGCGCTTGCGCAGGAAAGTGTTCGTTAGTTAACCTCTTTTGGTTGTTCCAATAGTACTAGGCTGTCTGTCTACATACACGCGAATCCATTAACTGTGAAAAAATAATCTTCCATAAACATTTTTTTCCCGTGGAGCGGCAGTAGGAGTAGGAATTGGCGCCGTCCCGTCGCGGCTGCAGCGAGGCAGCCCCGAGCTCTGGGGAGCCCCCTGAGCGAACCCCTGAGGAGGGTCGGGCCGCCCCGGCCGGCCCGGTCGAAGCAGTCTCGGAACCAGTCCGTCAAGCGGACCGCAGGAAGCCAGCAGAGGAGCCCAGGTGGCGCCCGCCCTGTCGGCCCAATGACCTAACGGGCTGGGCTGGGGGCGCCCCGGAGCTGCCACGGAGGGGAGGGGGAGGGGGATCACACACACGTACACACAGACACACCTCAGTCCCGACGGGGGTCCATTCGTTGCGGAAGGACTAGAGCCCCGCCGGGGCCCAGGGCGAGAGAGAGAGAGAGAGAGAGAGAGAGAGAGAGAGAGAGAGAGAGAGAGAGAGAGAGAGAGAGAGAGAGAGGTAGAAGGGAAAGGAGGGCTGCCGTGTTTCCCGTGAACAACTTCCGAACGGAACTCCGACTGGCTGTACTGCACTGCTAAGTCTGGGAATAAATGCGCCACGTCGCCTGCGCGAAAAGAGGGAGGTAGCAGGGGGGGGGGGGTACGGAAAGGGCGCCAAACTGGAACGGTATTTGTACTCCTGGCGCTACTGTCTGTCTGTCTGCGCTGGGCATGCAGGGAGGGCCCGTAGGGCCCCGCTTCGCCAGAACCCGGCACACTGCCGTAACGGCGCGGCACGGTTTCGTGCAAACAACATTGTCTGCACAGTTTCCGCGCGGAATAAATGCACAATTTTAGGTGAAAAAAAAGCACCGCGTACCAAAACCCAACGCTCCACGCTCGTCAATCATTTATCACTTTGAGTACACGGTCGTCCAGAACTTACGTCGGCCATTTGTTGCTACGGACTTGCCAAGTTTCGCCCATGCAAGCTTTCATAGCGCCTGGTAGGTAGGCAACATCTCGTCTGCACTGCATGCGTGTAGTGCGGGGTGGCCTACCGTTAGACTCGCAGGCGTTTCAGCTCCCGTCATTTGTGGCCGAATGGATTCGAGAAAAACAGTCGTACTTTCTGATGGTTCATGAAGTGCGTTAGTTTTTTTATGCCGCTTAGCAGTTAGTCAGAGAGTTCCAGTCGATATAGAACAGAGTGAGGTAGCGAAGCAGGGTAAGAGAAATTACGACCGTGATACCTTTTATCCCCAACAATATATTTTCCGCGAGTTTTACGC